TTTTGAGGAAAATATAAGGATGCATGTTATGCATGGGTAGTACTAATTCCATATATATAAATGTTTTTAATTCTTTTATTTATGCTTATGCATTAAAAGTGTAACTCTAGGAATGAATAATGCTATCCATATGCAAAACAATGCCCTGGAATACGATAATCAGTTTTGTTTCTAAAAATAAATAAATAAATAAATAAATAATTGAATTAAAAAATTAAAGTGAAAGATTTTTTTCCTGAAAGTTTGGGCCAAAAATGTGGGTGCGCATTACACATGGGAGCGCATTGTATGTGGCAAAATATGGTAAGTACTTTGCAAATACTGACTTATTTAATTCTCATAATGACCCTATTGAAGATGCTCTATTGCTATTCTAATTTACAGGAGAGAAAATTGAGGCATGAGGATGCTCAGTAATTTGCCCACAGCTACATAAGTAGCAAGTAGAGGCGCTGGGATTCCAACTTAGGCAACTGGATTCAGGGTCTGTGCCCTTACCCACTATGCTATGTTGATTTTAATAATATTTTCTATATAATTGTTTTGTGATTGAAAATAATGTATTTAGTTTGTAAAAACTCATATCTTAAGGATTTTTTAACCAACCTAAACATTTTCCACATAAAATCCTGTGGATTTTGAAGCCACTTGTCAAAAATATAAAAATGTACACCACCTTCTAATTAGGTAGCTGGAACAAATGAGTAACAGTGGGCAGGATGGAAAAGTATTCATCAGATTTCAATCAAAATCTTTTCACAATAAGTGATGGGACTGAAAAATAAGTATCATGATTTAGTAACTTAGCCAATGAAGCAGTTCTTCCATTTAAATCCACTTATCTTTCTGAGCTCTTCTCAGAGAGCCTTTAAATAAACTGAGCATAAAAGCATACATCTGTATTGCTGTCTCACAAAATGTTAAACCAAAATTTTAAAAATAATGAGGCATATTCAATTATTGTTTCCCCCAAAAGCTTTGTTAAAAATAACATTTTAGAGAAAAATGTGTTTTGTATTATTGTTAATACATTTTTAAATGGTTTAAACTATGATTTATTTATCTTATTGAAAATTTTCTATTTCAGTATGTTTTGTTATAATATATTGACATTAATATATGCATGTCATTTATAAAGATACTGAGGGTATACTCAAAATTCTTTCTGGCAGAGTGTTCAGTCAAAAAAAGTTTGCGCATCACTTCATAAGTTATATAAATGTCTAATCGCTATGCTGTATACCTGAAACTAGTGTAATATTGAATGTCAGCTGTAATCGAAAATTAAAAAATTTTAAATAAGGTTTCCAGTCTGGTTCCTAGCAGTCTGGTGCCTAGGACTGTGTTCCAGAGGGCAAGCCTAGAAGGACACTGTGGGGGAGTCCTGGGCCACCAGGAAGTAGAACAGAGACTGTGGCCTGGCTGCTGGGGGTGAGGGAGGCTGTGAGAAAGGAAGTAGGAGGAGATAGGAGAAGGCAACACAGATAACTTGCAGGCCTACTTGCCTAGAAATCAGCCAGGTGAAAAATGTATTTGTATTGTATTAACTAATCAAATGAGCGATAAAGTTTACAAATTTACACAGAAATCATAAAATTCAAGATTAGACTTCTTTCTTTTTATAAGAGCTTGCACGTACTTTCTTATAAGGTAACCTAAGCAAAGTCACATACCAGGGTTGGTAACCATAGTTAATCATAAGAAAAGTTGACTTTACTCGGTTTACTACCTGGGTAATTTTTCTCAGAGAAGTAGCCAACAGTTTTCTTGTAAATTGTGGATTTCTTCTAAATTGCAAGGCTGCATTATCCTCAGTTCTCTTCAGAGAAGCTAAAGTGGAAATTCAGAGTATTATTTATACGCAACAACTATGGTCTTTCAGAAAAGGTCTAAAATGTTCATTTATTTGTTTGAATTTATGTTACCTCCCCACCTCTATCATTGTGTTCACTTGTGTTTTTAAAACAACTCTTCTGTTTTTTCAGTTAAAATGTCACTTTAAAATACCAAGTACATGTATGTTTCTTTGAACTAGGACTGTTTCTACCAGCATTTTCCAAAGGATTGAACTTCAAAGAAATCTGGTTGTTTGGCCTTTTACCCACCTGCTGTGTTATTTAGCCCGTGGGAAAAAAAATATATACAAGTATCTAATCAAGCACTATTGATTGTCGTTTATTCATGTAGAATATTTTGTGAAATTTTCCATTTGTAGCCGTATAGAAATATAGGATATTAGATTTGAATGCTGTAATACTTTGCGGATAGATCTTCTTTTTGAAGAACTCCAATGCATTAACAATAGATTTCTTTTAACATTATTATAATCTGGCTCTAGTTTTAACTTTACTAAACGTTATGCCATTTACAATGGTAAATTTCTCTGAAGTCTTCCTCATGATCCTTTGTACCCTTTCACTTACTGTGTTTGTACATGCATCTCTGCTATGTCATCAGCTGAATATTATCCCAACTGGGGCATTTCAGAAGCATGCTTTGAAATGTTCTGCTCTTTCATTCAACAGCTATCACAAGCCACTTAATCTGACTTCTGCCCTCATGCAGTGCTTCTGATCTTGATTTTTCTCTGCTTGCTTTTTACTTTACACTTCCAAGTCTATAACCCTGTCTGCAGTTTAAAGCTCTATTTTACAGTGAGCAGGAATTGAAATTTTCTTACAGATTTTTTTTCTCTGAGCAAAGTCCAACTGCTACCATTCAATATGAAGTTGGCAGCTTATATTCTTGGTGAATAGTCCTCTTGGCATTCTAACAAATCATCTAGCTGAGGCATTTACATTTTTTGGCTTATCTGAAGACATTTTTTTCCTCTTCCTTTTTTTCCTATTTCTCACTTTATCTAGAGATCCCCTTGGGCACATAACTACCAACACTGATCTCCAGGTTCCTCTTTAGAATACATTCTATTTTTAAAATCTTAATCTGGGACTTGAGTATCATATTTGATTGATATTCTCTCATCTCACCCTCAAATTAAAACACCTGGGCTTGTGTAATTATTACCTTCTCTTCAGCTACACTACCAGTTTCTTTTTGCACTCTAGCAAAATCCAAACCCTTTTCTTTCTCAGCCAATACTGCCCCTCTCATCCAGGGCTGATACAGTTTCTACTAGTGAAGCGGCTTGTACCATGTGCTTCCCCAGATGTTCTCCTGTTACAAATTCCTTCCAGTGTTAGGACAGGGTAGGACAGGGCAGTTCAATCCACACTAAAAGGCATTCATCATTTTCTCAGTGAAGTAATAAGGGAAAGCAAAGCAAAGAAGCTTCTGGACTAATGCCAACGGCAAGCAGAGCTTCTCAAACTTTCCTCTGAAATATCCCCCCAAACAAACCCCCCAACATTCCCATCCCTTAACGCCCCATCTAGGTGGCAGCGTAAGTTGCCCACTACAAGCCCAGCTTTTTTTTTAAAGTCTTCCAAAGTTTTGCCTTTAAGCCATAGTATATCCTTGTGGATTTAGTATAAAAATAAGAATTAAATTATTTGACAATAGGTAAAATTAAAGGATAGGTCTTGTTTATACTGCAATTTTTCTTTCCTATACCTTGGTTTATGACTATGGAAATCAGTAAATCTTAAAGGGAATTTATGAAATTCTGACGGTGAGAAAACTCTGACAGTGAAATATGGCAAGAAATGACACTTTGTAGAACTGGTTACTTATAAACTGTCTTTTTGTAGGAGAACAAAAATAAAGAATACTTAGTAATTGTTATTGGAATGTTTGTCATATTGGGAAAAAAAGTTGTTTTTACTGGTCATTATGTCTACCTCTTCAGAATTGTGAAAAGAGTCTGATTTCTATGAACAAAAAGAATGAGACACTCGGAAATGTGCAACTCTGGTGTAACAAGAAGCAATAAAGTATAATATAATAACAAACAAAAGAGACAAAAAGGCAGAGTTTACATTGCTTTGTTTTGTTTTGCTACAAGCATAGCTGTAGCCTTAAAATGGAACAGTCTGTTTCTAGGTCGCTACCCATGAACAGTCACAAATTGTACACTGTTAGTAACCCCCCTTTCTAGACTCTGGAATTAGGAGGCATTTTCAGCCAGTGTATTTTATTAACTCACTATGATTTCTAATAAATTACTCAGTCTTCTTCCATTAACTGTGATTACAACAATGTTTTGGTAACAACTCCATCATGGTCTCAAGGATTTTTGCAGGAGGTCAGATTGATTTAAATAGAGTCACTGTTCTAAACCAAGCTAGAAATGTCTTAGGGAGAGGCCAGCTGGGCTGCTTAGGCTGGCCTCAGGATGACATTGCCTCATTCAAGTCACATTTTCCAGGGCTCATTTCTTGGTGTTTCAAGTCCAGAAACTTTATTTTGTCAGCGTGCCCAAAGTCGATCATACTCAAGGGACAAGGCTTGTGCTAGCCCAATGCACAAGAGGCCAGTGCATAAACTAGAATACTAATTTGCTCATTTATAATGAGAAAAGGAGCTATCAAAAGGCCTAAAAACATATGATATGTGGCCAACACCTTCGTTTCTCTGTAGGAAAGCTGCATGAGAAGACTGTTACTGTCTTTTCAGGTCAACAAATTTTTATTAAGCACCCAAGGTACAAGTCACTTTTTAAAAAGATTTTATTTATTTATTTAGACAGAGGGGAAGGAAGGGAGAAGGAGAGGGAGAGAAACACTGATTAAGAGAGAAATATCTATCAGTTGCCTCTTGTACATGCCCTGATCAGGGACCGAACCTGCAATCCAGGCATGTGTCCTGACCAGGATAGAACCAGTGACCTTTCACTTTGCGGGACAACGTCCAACCAACTGAGCCACACCAGTCACGGAAGGTACAGGTTATTTTGATCCCAAGGATGTTTTGGATATATAAACACTTTAATTAGAATTATGGGAACACCAAATTGTCATAGAGAGATTATTTTCCAAAACAAACTACATGAAGCCAAGTTATGCTTTTACCAATTTTCTAAGGCATTCTCTTCTGATTGGCAGGTTCAGCCTTTTAGGAGAGAATAATATCTATCTACGTGATGGAATTAGCCGTGAAGATCACCCAATAGCCACATTCAATACAAAGCTACTTTCTAAATATGGTTCTTAACCCAGAACTTCAAAGGAATATGATAACCTGCTGAACAGGTATGCAAATCCTTGTGTATAATGAGCATGTGGTTTTTACCGCTAGATTTCCATGTCAGGGAGTAACCTAAAAACTTGGAGTTTTCCAGAGTCAGCCTGAGCATCTAGGCCACAGTACCACCCACTTACCAACATCAGGACATTTCTAGGACAAATTCTTCTTTAAAACCTTATAGCCAGTTTAACATAACATGTCCTGTTTCCTGATATTCTTACTACAGGCTCAGCTATAACGTACCCTAGTCATTTAGGTTTGCCTATGCTTTGCTTCCTATCAAAACTTTCTACTTTACCTTCTGGCATTCCGACTGGAGTGAAGAGTGAGAGCCAGACCATCACTCCTCCATCCTCCTGAAGAACTTCTGAGATCCAAGAGTGGCTACACTCCCTTCTCTGTCTGGTTGCTGTCACTTAGCAACCTCCCAGTCTGCCCCCCTCACATACACCCGCCTCACAGGGAACTCTGTTCACTGTTTTTCTCTCCACCCCAGTAAGTCCGTGGTCCTCCATGATGTCTGAGTGCTTCAAGCCTTCTCACTGTCCTCCATCTCTGGCTTTGACATCTCTTCCCTCACGTTTTCTGTCTCAGAGAAAACGGAAGCATCAAATAGGGAACTCCCCTCAGTTTCCCTCTACTAAGCCAACAAATTTATATGCAGGCACATGCATGCTTTTCTTTTCCTGCAGCCATACTACAATAAATATTCCTTGTATCCCTCTGGCAGTGCTGTGTGCATCCCTGTTGACATTGGAGGAACTGCACTCCGTCTAGTTCCCCTTTCTTCTCCTGTGTCTTCAACATTGATCTCTCTATTGTTCTTTACTATCAGCATCCAAACATGTCCAAGACTCTAGCTACTATTCTTCCCCATCTGGCTCAAAGCAACTTTTTTTTTTTAAAAGAAAAGATCTTTGAGTTATGAGTTATTTAATTCTTTTGCTTGTCAGGACTTGTATGCTTGTCTATAAAATTTTCTTGAGTTTTAAACACACTTGTTTTAAGGGCTATAAATGTGCTCATCTGAAAATTTATTGTGACTTTGAGAATTCTAATACATAAGTTCTTATTGGTCAGCAGTGTTTTCTTTAAACTTATGAAATATACAAAAAGTACAAAACATAAATGTATAATTTAATGAATAATTGTGTGACAAACATTCATTTAATGAACCACCACTCTATTTAAGAAAATGACCCTCCACCCACGTGTCCCTTCGGGATCATTACCTTCTCACCCTTCTAGAGGTGAGCATGATTCTCAATTTTATGGTAGTAATTTCCCAGCTTTTCTTTATGAGTTTAACTCTTTCTTTGCCAATCCAGGCCCACTCTTTTCTCTCCTCTACCCTGCTCTGTATAATGGGGAGCTAGGCTGTATGAACTCTATCAATAGGTTCCTTCTCCTTTCTAGCTTCTAGTTGCATTTAGTGGGGAGATAAGAGGGAGCAAAATGAGACAAAATATTTCCATCTCCTGGTGTCTCCCCTACTAAATCTCTCCAAGGGCTAGCTGGGCTGGTTTTGTCACCAACCATATTCATCAGGGTTAGCCAGAGAAATGGAACCACAGTGCTTCTCTGGCTAACCCTGATGAATGTATAAATAAATATGAGAGAGTAGATTCTAATCACTTGTGGTGAAGCAACAGCTTTAAGTGTCCCAATGCCTTGGGGCTGGAATCATCTGGAAGCATCTTCACTTAAATGTATGACAGATAATGCTTGCATTTGGCTGGGATTTCGGCTGGGGACAACTTGATCACCTACATATGTCCTCTCCTTGTGCCTTCTTCACAACATAGAAGTCTCAGGGTAGTTGGAGTTCTTGCATTATGGTTTAGGGATACAGAAGTGACTGTCCCACTGATCAAAGAGGAAGCTATATCACCTTTTATAACGTAATCTTAGAATGCACACAACATCACTCCAACTGCATTCTCTGTTACAAGTGAATGACAAGGCTGCTTAGATTAGAGGGAAGAGGACATAGACCTATTTCTTGATGAGAGGAGTGCCAAGGTCACACTGCAGAAGAGCGTGTGGGATGGGAGATACTGTTGCAGCATCCTTGGAAAATGTATTTTGGCATACATGTTCTTAGAACAATTTAATACAATGTGAATGTCAATTCTTTTATCAGTTAATGTGTAAGTTTAATGTATGGAATGTCTGCACTCCAACCTTAACATGTAATTGTTGCCCTTACATGTAAATGTTTTGGGAAAAAATTGTATTTTATGCTCTTAGACTTAGTCCTTATTATTATTTTAAGAGTCCATGTTTGGTTAGATTTGTGCATGCGTTAATAAATCTCTTTTATTAAATTCACTTATCATGTACCCATCTTTCCTTCAGCTAAATTGTCATTCAAGAATCAAAGTGAATAGGCTGTAGCTATAGTAAATTTTTCTGATTTTTGTCTTAAAAAAACCCTTTATTTTACTTTTATTCTAGAATGATAGTTCTAACTGTAGAATTCTAAGATTAATTAATGTTTGTTTTTGATGTTAAATATTTTTACTGAAAATGCTTTTGTGTCAAAATGCCCTCAGGTTCAAAAACAGTGGAGGCAAATGGCAAGATCAAATCCTCCATTTCCCCATTATATTGCATAAGCAACTTGATAAGACATGTTCCTGCTAGTAAGGAGTTATTGTCTCTTTAACTGTAAAGCAGAAATAGTAAACAAAAATGAATAGTATACTTTATTATTGTTGAGTATAAAGTATATACTTTACATACAAATTATTAAATTATGTATTTTATATGATACATGAGGTCTATCCAGAGAGTATCCAGCCACTTACTATGAAAAATAGACACATTTATTGAAGAAGATACAAGAAACATTGTACGTAGGACAATGACACCTCAGTCCCCTTGAAAGTAGGCAGCTTGAGGCCTCACACAGTTTCCCCAGTTGCCATGAGCTGCCGTGTCATATCTTCCTGAATCTCACTGATGGTCTGAAATCTCTTCACTTTCACAGGTGATGTTTTGGGAAAAGCCAGAAGTCACAGAGTGCCAATCTGGGCTGCAGGGGGGCTGAGTCACCTGGGTGATTTGGTGTTAAATTTCAAAACTCTGCATGAGACATGATGCATGATGTATGAGCAGGCTCATTGTCATGATGAAGCTGCCAATCACCAGTTGCCCATAGCTGCAGCTTTCTCAATCCTCAGAACAATGTCTATGGAGGAATGTTCAAGCTAACACAAAATTTGATGTAGATTTGTTGCTCTACTTGCTCAGTCATTTTGAATGTGAGGACTGCACAGTACACCTGCTCACTCAATGACATCTACCACCCCCACTGACAAGTACAGTGAAGTCGTCAGTGTTCACATATGCACATTCCAGTCCACTCTCCTTGACTGCCAGGTTATATCAATGTTGCGCAAACTGTTCTTGTTATATTAACAATGAGTGGTTGGACCTTTTTCTGAACAGACCCCGTATATCAAACAAACTAAGTATTGTTGAAAGTTTTGTTGATGTACTCAGAGTTCCTGCTTAGGTGAGATTAAGAAAGGGAGAAATTGCCCTCTTTTCTATTTACTAAAAGAAATATTAGAATTTTAAAAAGTATTTAAATGATTAAAGGAATGAGCAGGAAAGGAAGAATTTAATTTACCGTTCTGTTGTAAAGCAGATGATCTGCCTGAGACCTATCTGAAATTTACCAGTTGAGCAATTCCTATAGGAAAAAATTGAATCCTCTCGATTCTGGAAGATTTCATATTCTAAAGGAATCAATGGGTCATCAAGGAATTTATTACTAATCAAGATAAAAGAGAGCCTGGAGAATGGATTGTTTTTTGAGGGGTGGGAGGTCAAATGGAAGTACTTCAGGAATTGGTGACCCCCTAAACATTATAAGGAAACACTTTGTCTTTCCTCCTTTTCTCCCTCTGTGCCTCCTTTATTTTCTTTACAGAGATAGAAAAATGAGGAGGTAGAGGAATCTTTCTGGAATGTTAAAAAAAATCTAGGAAGGTTTCTGAGTAATAGAAACCTTGGACTATTTATGTTTGAATGGAAACCATGGACAAACACTGGAAATATAGTACTCTTGAAATAAGTTTTGACTAACTCTTGTGTTGTTTTAGATTTCAGTGAATGTTTGTGTGTTTCTTGACAGTTATTAGCTATAAAAATATTTAAAATGAAAAGGCTTTTTATACAGTAGTAAAAATTGGATAAATATTAGATTATAGTGAAATTCAACCTAGTCTATCATCATTCAAATAAATGTAGAGTTGGGTTTAAAGTAGGCTTTCCATAAATACTCAATTTTCTTTTTACAACATTGTATTAGGGAAACATACTTCATAAACAGTATTACCTGCTGACCTTTATTTATTTAAAGAGGGCAAGGGGTCAGAGAAGGAGAGGGAGAGGGAAAGAAACATCAATTGGTTGCCTCTCACACACCCCCAGCCAGGGACCTTGCCCACAACTCAGGCATGTGCCCCTATTGGGAATCAAATCGGTGACCTTTCAGTTTGCAGATGATGCGCAGCCCACTTTAGCCACACTAGTCAAGGCTACCTGCTGACTTTTATTTTACTTTTAAAGAAAATGTTAATCATTAGCTCTGTACATAATTGTAAAAGTGAAAAAGTTGAGAATCAGATAGTTTTTTATTGTTAATAAACCATTAATATATATTTTAAAAATAGTCATTGACATGCTACTAACATGGAATTATTGAATTTCATGAATGAAATATCTAGTAACATATTTATATGGAATATATTATGGGGGCTGGTTTTATCTCTCTACTGCATTCTTTGATTAATTAATGAATGGATACCCATATTTTATTTAAAACTATTTCTTATAATTAGCAACATAATTCTGTACATATGAGTCTAAACAAATACATATTTTAAAGTGAAAAAAATTACTGTTTCCTGCCAGATATCCCATATTAGTCCATTTTATTCCCCAGAGCTGTTTGTCATCTCATTAGACTAGCAGCTGCTACAGCCATGCATCTGTCACATGTTCCCAAGTGGTCTAGTTCCCAGGACAAATAGAACAAACGGATAAAAACAAAAACCCAAAAAGGCATCCATCAGAGATCTATCTTTCCACTAAAAGAAGTTATACATTTTATAATATACAAGCATGAAAAACATTGCATTCACGGGTTACAAATGAAAAAAAAGAAAAGAAAATGTAGAGAATAATGAAAGCTATTTCCATGATTAAAACCAGCATATCTCTGCCAAACTTTCAATTATACCAAAATAAGTTTAATGTGACTGTGCATCTCTGTGTGAGTTTCTGTGTGTGTGTGTGTGTGTCTACAATGTGGGGGACTATCTTGTGTCTATGAATTTGTGTTTGTGTGTGCATGTCTGTCAGTGTTTGTGTATCTGTTGTGTCTTGGGGTCAGGATCCAGGAGGTGGAAACATAGTGGTATAAGAGAAAGGACTGAATCCATTTCTACTGGAATCCATCTTCCATTGGATAAGAAAGGAGAGTGTATTTTTATTACAAAAAAACCCCACTGAACAGTAGGTGAAATGATTGAATAATTTTATGTCTATAAGTTTAAAGCTTTTAAAATAAAACTTTATTTCAAGTGAAATGCATGTTCATTATTTTATACATCAAATAAATCTAACCACCGATTGATAATCACTTGATATATACACTTCCAGATATTTTATATACATACAGACACACACACACACACGAATATTTTTGCAAAATGGAATTATCCTAAATAAATCACTTTAGAAATAAGGAATAAAATCAAGAAACTCTTGTTCATTCTATCCCTAACACGTAGCACAGTGCAGGGTATATGGAAGGAATTCAGAAAATATCCATTAAATAAATGGAGGAATCCTTTGTTTTGTCTGTCTTTTTCCCTTTGACATGTTTATATATTTACTTATGAATTTCATAAGAAGTGAGGATTTTGGCCTGTTGTTATATATGTTACAATTGCCATTTTCCCTATTTATATTTAATTTTAATTTTCCTTTTCCAAAAGAATAGAACATATTTAAACATATAGTTTGATTTAATTGAATAAAAAAGTCATCTGATTTAATACAAATGGTGCTTTATTGTTATTTTTAAAAAATAAATAGAAGCAAAGTGATAAATGCATCTCAGTAGAGGCTCTGCTCTATTTAAATATACAAGGATGATATATAGGTATTAGCAGCATGGACTATGCCTAACAGCAGTACATTTTTGAGTCAGACAGATCTGGTTTTTACCTCATTTCTTCTCAGCAGCTGTGTGATAATGGAGAATCACCTAATGCCTCTGAGCATCTGTAAATTGGGGACATTCTGGCCTCCCTCCCTGAGTTAGTGCCCAACAAATGGTCTGTCTGTGGCATTTCATTTCTTTATAGGTGTTTCCAAAATGGATATTTATTCTTAAGTATGAGAAAAAAACTAGGTGTAGATCCCCAGATCTGCCTAAGTTTCTCTGCCCAAAATTTGAAGATAACAAATTTTTTTTCTATTTTTTGCCATTATTATTTCTAAATACCCTGGTTTTGCTGTGTCATGTTTCATACTTCTTGGAGAGAAGTTTTTTTGTTTTTCTGTTTTTTTTCTCTACCAACCTTGTTGACCAAAAGCCAAGTACTTTGTGTTCTTAAGTTTTTCCTTGAAAGAATCTTGGTATCAAGGGATGATAAACTCCATTAAGTTTAGTTCAGTAAAAGGAACACCACGAAGTGCTTTAGTGTACTATTATTTTCTAGAACATTAACTGAATTAGAAATCTAACTTTACTAATGCTGTGTCTTGCCATCAATATGTAGAACATAGAAAGTCTGTTAAGCTTTCTAATGTGTCTGCTGTACAAAGTCTACAGCTCATGGCCGCTTTTATAAGGTGGTGTTTATTCAGCCTACAAATATTTACTTTAACACTGACCTTACTTACATGGACCTTCTACTAACAGTTTTATCCAAGCACTGAACTTCTTATTATTTTCATGAAATTAATTACAGATGTTTGGAGGAGGGGAAAATCTAGATTTATAAATACTAATTTTCTTGGCAATTAACCTAATACTATATTCTTCCTAAATAAAAGCTTCCTCCTTGTCTAGCCCAGGTCAGAGTATCACAAATTTTGATTTAATTAAGTAGGAATGGAGTTCAGTGCTAATATGTTGCATGTTGCCAGAATAGAAACGGTTCCTGATGACTTAGTTAAATTCTTATTTAAAAGTATGGGGTAAGTATATTTTCATTAAAAAACTACAAGTTATTTTTTTTGTTAGAACAACTATTAGTTTATTCTGTCCATTACCTAAGGTATTACAAGCTGTTTTGAGGAAGAAGCCACAGGAAGAAACGTGTGAAAGCTATGTTAAAATCTTTCAAGCTTTGCCATAAGAAGTCAGTGATTAACTGTGCCCCACAGGCACTGGCCTGGTAGGGTAAGAAGCTGACCTGACTCAAAAGAATTGATGCAGTAACCTCAAGTTTCTGCTTTATATCAAGAGACCAAGTGACTAGGAGTTAGAATTCTAAAATTCTATTATAGGGTTATAAAGGACTTTGGGAATCGTAACTCACACTTTACCGATAAAGAACTTGGGAAACAGTGAGTGACTGGCCAAAGGTCTCAGAAGAATTTGGCTCAATATATTAAATAGAGTAAAACATACGCAAGTTCCTTGCTAATTAAATATTTTAAAAATCTTTTATGACCTTTGCTATATATGACTGTTTGAACATTAGGGAATATCAGTAAAATATAAAACATACTTTAAAAAAATTCCTGTGGTATGGTTTGTTCACATCACATTAATAACTGGAGTGAGCAAAAAGAAAAATATTTAACAAGGATGAAAGATTACATAAATCCATACATGTAATAACATGGCATACAATTATACACATGTATGCACAATGAATGCATGTAAAACTGATAAAATCTGAATAAAATCAGTGGGTTATACTAATGTCAATTTCCTGGTTTTCATATCTTACTATAGCCACGTAGGATGTAGTCATTAGGGGAAACTGGGTGAAGAATAAATGAGATCTCTATTATTTTTACAACTTTCTTTGAATCTGTTATTATTTCAAAATAAAAAGTTTAAAAGTTATGAACTCCCTGGCTGGCATGACTCAGTGGATTGAGTGCTGACCTGCAAACCAAAAGGTCGCCAGTTTGATGCTTAGTCAGGGCACATGTGGGCCAGATCCCCAGCAGGGGGCGTGTAAGAGGCAACCACACATTGACGTTTCTCTCCTCCTTCTCTCTTCCTTCCCCTCTCTCTAAAAATAAATAAAATCTTTAAATAAAAAAAGAAAAAAGTTATGAACAGATAATGTGAAACTACTTTTTTTTTCATAATTAAATATAAGCTACAGGTGGTTAGAATTTAATATAAAAATAATTACAACATGTGATCCTGGTTTAGTACTCACCTATTTGCCCATATCTTGTATCTCCTTCCCTGGGACTATTCCCAGAAATTGTCTCTTCTTGACATTCTCCTTTAGAAACCTGATGAATATTCATGACTTCAGGGACCAGCTCCATGTTGAAGGCCCCCAAATCATTCTGTCTGGCTCAGATGTCTCATTGAAACTCCGAGTCTTT